TTAGGGCGGACACGTAGTTTCCTTGTTATGCAAATATATGTGTCCGCCGTGGCCCAGTAACATATCAAAGTTTTCAGACAAATAAGGAGGCCACAGCAGACACATATAGCGGACACACTCTGTAAAATTAATCTGAGATATGCAACCACCAATCTAACTGTGGGATCAAATGTGCACATGCCATGGCAGACACATATTCTTTCTATACTGCCTAATTATTTGTCTGTGTGGCCCCAGAGTAGGAAATATGAAACAGACACTGGTGACCGCTCTGGCCCCCTATGGAAAGCAGTGGTCAGGCACCGGTGTCTGCTTTGGCGCTTAACGTGTTCTTGTATTCAAGTTAACACATGTAAAGATAACATAATAAATACAAACACCAATCATATACCCTCCACCCCTCATTGGGAAACACGGTTAAATTATAAAATTAATAACATTAGAAAACAACTAGGTCAAATAACACAGTACCTTAGAGGAGTTAAAACACCACATATCATGACATGTTTGCATTCGATACTGACTAACAATAATTTTCATCAAACTGATTACGATGAGTACAACACAACACTATCCCAAATTAAAGGTACCCTATTACAAAAGCTTTCCTTATATAGCAAAAGACTTAAAAGATACAAACAATCACATCTGAGAAAAATTCATAACACTAAATTTTTAAACAACGGAAAACTATTCTATCAACATCTAACTAATTCAAGCAAAACTCAATTATCCGGTGAATTACCAAGTTCACAGGATGTAACAACATTTTGGTCAAAACTTTGGTCTCAAGAATTTGAATTTAACCAATCTGCCAAATGGATTCCTCATATATCCCATAAACTATCCACAGTTACACCAATGAATGATCATCAGGTAACACTTGCCGAATTAATAAATACCATCAATAAGACACACAACTGGAAATCACCAGGACCAGACAAAATCCATAATTTTTGGATAAAAAAATTAAATTGTGTACATATTCATTTACTACATCACTTAAATCAGTTCCTTCTTGACCCATCCTCCTTTCCAACATTCTTATGTCATGGTGTAACATACCTAAAACCTAAAGATAACGACACAAAAAATCTATCAAAATACAGACCTATCACATGTTTACCGACAATCTATAAAATATTAACCTCATGCATTACACAAAAAATCTATCAACACTGTTTTAACTCTGACATCATTAATGAAGAACAGAAAGGCTATATTAAAGGATCCTTTGGTTGCAAAGAGCAATTAATCATAGATTCCATCATATGTGAACAAGCTAGAAAAGAAAACCGAAACATATATACTGCTTTTATTGATTATAAGAAAGCTTACGATTCGGTCCCTCATTCCTGGCTATGCAAAATTCTGGAATTATACAAAATTGATACTAAAATCTGCACTTTTCTCAAATGTTCCATGGAATTTTGGAAGACCACCCTCCAAATAACCTTAAATGAACAAACAATTCAGTCAGATCCAATAATGATCCGAAAAGGAATTTTTCAAGGCGATTCTCTTAGCCCGTTATGGTTCTGCTTAGCAATAAATCCCCTCTCCGATATCTTGAACAGCTGCAATTATGGGTTCAATATAAGAATTAACAAACAAAGAGAAAACAGAATAAGTCACTTGCTGTATATGGATGACATAAAAATATATGCAAGTACACAAAATCAGTTAACAAACCTATTAAATCTGACTCAACAGTTTTTCGGTGATATTGGTATGTGTTTTGGTATTGAGAAATGTAAGACCCAAGCAATCAGAAAAGGCGTCCAACACCAAGTACCACATATAACCCAGAATAACGAAATAATCAAAGCCCAAGAACGAAATGATACATACAAATATCTGGGTTTCTGTCAATCCTCCCACATCAGTCATACCAAAACGAAAACACAGTTGAAAGATCAATACCTAGCGAGATTAAAATTAATATTGGAGACACAGTTAAATGGAAAAAATTTAATGAAAGCAGTAAATACATTCTGCGTTCCACTGCTAACATATTCTTTTGGAGTCATTAAATGGTCCAAAACTGATCTTGAAAATTTAAACATCGCAACAAGGAAAATCTTCACACAGTATAGAAGGCATCATCCAAAATCGTCGATTGAAAGATTCTCATTACCAAGACAGAATGGAGGAAGGGGTTTCCAGAACCTAGAAAACTTATAACAGAGACAAATCTCAGATCTGACGAAGTATTTCTTGAAACGAGCAGAAAGAAATGAAATGTTTCGCACCATCACAAGAGCAGATTTGAACCACACACCCTTAAATCTGTCGAACACTGAAGAAATCCACACCCCCGCACAATAGACAAAATAATCAATGGGCTAAGACAAAAACAACTACATGGAAAATTCTACAAAGACTTAGAAGAAACTCATGTCAATAAGAAGATGTCATTGATTTGGTTAAAAAAATCAAGTTTGTATGCCGAAACAGAGGGATTTGTGTTTGCTATTCAAGACCAAGTAATCAATACCAAGAATTACAGAAAATACATCATCAAAGATCCGAATATAAGAAATGACTGCTGTCGCCTCTGCAAAGCAAAACCTGAAACGATCCAGCACATAATCTCTTCCTGCAGCATCCTAGCACAAACTGACTACAAAACTAGACACGACAACGCAGCCAAAATCATTCACAAAGAATTAGCAACACTTATGAACTTAATAGAAGATACGACACCCTATTACACTTACATCTCCTTTCCTTGAAAATAACAAATACAAATTATACTGGGATCGCACAATACTTACAGACTTAAACATTACAGCTAACAGACCAGACATCATACTTATCAAAAAACACACGAACGAAGCCATTCTCATTGACATTGCTATTCCTAACACAAACAACATTATTCAAACATACCACACCAAGATTTCAAAATATCTACAATTATCGATAGAAATGAAATCCACATTGAATCTTAAAAAAATTTCAATTCTACCCCTAGTTATCTCTAATGTAGGTGTAGTCCCAAATAGCTTAGTTGAGAATTTAAAGTCTTTGCATTTGAATGATTCAATAATTGTCAAAATTCAAAAAGCTGTTTTGTTAGGAACATGTCATATTGTTCGTAAGTTTCTCGAACAGTCTGATCATGTCAGTCAGATTAGATTAGCACCAGTAGGTCTGAGTAGTGTAGGTCACTTTCCAATTGATGCGCGGATAAATGATCGGTAGTTACGCTAGACTTTTGGGGATGGGATGAGATTAGAGAATAATAGCCGACTAATTTGTATGCTGTAATTCTAGAATCTCAAAAGTTGTTTTGTTAATCTAATCAATGCATATTATTACTTGGTCTAAGTACCCGTAATGATAGAAGTCTTGCCTGAATGCCGGTCATTTCCGGGTCAATGGTGGGTCTTAATAATAATAAGAAGAAGAAGAACCATTACAGATCCAGAGGTGCTAAGACGAAGAAGAAATGGGTTTCGAGTAATTCCCAGTCAGGTTCAATATATGTATTTTCAGAATGTAGTATCTCCGTTATTAATAAACTAAGACCCGATTTATAGAAACCGATGTTAAAGTTAATTCGCGATTAACTTTTAATTGAGGTCCGTTGCTAGGTAACGTGCATGTTCTAACCAATCACGGGCTCATATTCCACATTTTAATTCTCTGTTAAACTAATCGAGGATTAAATATTTAACTCGCTGTTCTATAAACCGGCCCTTATTCTTATAAAACTTTAAATGCAAACTGTCCACAACTTTTCGCTATATGTATAAGCAATTTTTTTTAACAGTTTATCGTCATCTTCTTTTTATCATTTTAGTGAAATTTAGTGAAGAAATCGAAAATGTTTTTCGTGTAACGTATAGAACTTTGTAAATTGAAAAATTGAAAACCGCGTTCCAAAATTTCCAAAAATAATTGAGATATTGATTTTTAAAAAAGGTAACTTGTTTTTAAAAAAATTGTCCCTGTCTTATAGAGACAAAGTTGTCGAAAACTTACATTTAAAATTTCATAGCAATTAATAATATAAGCTGTTAATAGTAGAGATATTACATTCTGAAAAAGTATTGAATACTCCGAAAGTGAAAAAGGTAGGGATTCACCCATATAACGGAATACATTTGTATACTTTAACCAGAACTCTTGTGCGGAGTCTGCCTCAGGCGTCTCTTGATTTCCACTAATTTTAAGTAATACAGATGCCAGTAAAATTTTCATTACGGTTCATCTCGACAAACCCTCTCCCAGCCATCTCGATTGCGGCAAATTTACAAGCGTCTTTAGTTAAGCCCTCATAAAAATTAGTGGAAGTCAATAGACGCCTGAGGCAGACTCCGCACAAGAGTTCTGGTCACAGCCTATTGGTGTCTTCGAGAATTTACCGTTAGAGAAGAGTGCCTCTCAGGTGTTCAGACAATGCTCGGAACACAGAGAGCTCAACTTAGAGCGATAAAGGGCGTAAATATTTTGGTATGAATGTATCTATTCTTGTTTACTACCCAATTTATTTTATTTCACTTGGTTGTTGCCAGTTTCTCGAACAGTAAAATAACTGCTTGAGCAATAATTTTTGGAACAGCCGGTATATATACCTCTAATATGTATCATGACAGCACGTGATATGTATTATTAGCACCTAAAAATATATCAATTGTTCAAGATGAAGTGGTTTCAATTTTTAGTTACTTAAACGGTACACAATAGCTATTAATCATCATATACTGATTCGATGTGCAGATAAATATGCTGTTTTCGGTAAAAACATATTAATGTAGGTTAAAATCGGATACTTGAAACTACAATAAGGAATATAGAACATCATATAAAAACTAGATGATACGACGTTCAGTGATACATTAAATTTGAAAAAAACAGAAAGTGAAATATACCTACGACTGTATTATCACAGTAACACAGTACATAATACTTATCTTTCTATTTGCGTTATTTTTAATGTGAGATTTAACATAGTGTCATATCGCTCTATTTAGACCCATTATTCACCCGGAATGACCGACATTCAGGCAAGACTTCTACCATTACGGGTACTAAGACCAAGTAATGATATGCATTGAATATTAGCTTAATAAAAAGTTTTTGAGATCTTAGGATTACAGAATACAAATTCGTCTGCTATTATTGTCTAATCTCTCCCCATCCCTAAGGGCCTAGCGTAACTACCGATCATTTATCCGCGCATCACTTGAAAGGTCACCTACATTACTCTCACCTACTGGTGCTAACCTATTGTGACTGACATGATCAGACTATTCGAGAAACTTACAATATGTATATGTCATATATATTTAAAATGCACCGCAATAAAGTAAAAATTTTAATTAGAAATGCTCACAAAATTATTTACGACGTTTTACAGAAGAAATAAAAAAAAATTGAGAGGTGTCAAGGAACACCCGGATGGAACGAAGTTCCTTTCGATTAGTTAGTGAAGGAATTGTAATAAAATTTTATTTCTTTTAATTATAATAATAATTTTTTTATTATTAACAAATATAATCTTATCTATATATATAAAAATGGATGTTGGTATATATATCTGTGATCGATAGACTCCGAAATCGTTTGACCGATCACCATGAAATTTGGCACATGTAAGTGGTTTTTCATAGAGAAGGTTTTTGTGGTATCCGCTTTGCTGTAACTAGCCACTAGATGGCGCTACAGCACATCAACTTCTACACCGTTCAACCGATTCTCATAAAAATTGGTACACGTTGGCATTTGACTATGGAGAATATTTTCGCCCTATCCATTTTGCTGTAACTCGCCACTAGATGGCGCTGCAACACATCAACTTCTGTACCAATCAACCGATCCTCATGAAAATTGATATACGTTGGTATTTGACCATGGAGAATATTTTCGCGTTATCGATTTTGCTGTAACTTGCCACTAGATGGCACTGCAGCACATCAACCTCTCTGTTAAAGTATTATGAACTTAGAGAATCAGCGGCACCCATATATCTAATACTACTATATTGCTATCACTGCTATCAGGCTTCAAAAGAGTCCGAAAACACAACGGCAGAGCAATATATCGGACCTCTTTGTCTCTCTATAGTACCAAACAGTACTGCTCATATACTCGTACTTGCTTGATTTTTAGTCGATAACGTGACTAGATGTGTTTTGACATTTCATACGTTCGCTTCTATTTTGTGTACGTGCGCACAGACCCTCGGTACTTTTCTAGACAGAAAACAATATCTTCCGTCTCCCTTTGTCCGTGAACACCGTTTCTATGTTACTTCTGAAGAGTTAGCAAGTATTAGATCTATGGCGGCATCAATGACAGCATTGTTTTCGTTGGTATTACAACAAAAATCGTATTGACCGCAAAATAAAATCATTAGTGATGTTCACTGTCTACAATCCTCAGTAATAACAAAGAGTGAATTACTAGAGATTATTGAAAATGCCATCCAAAAAATCAAACTGATTCCGCGCATTCCAATGGTTCCTACTGATTTGCCCTTTACATTCAAACGACTACAGTTTCCTGTGCGTCTTGCTTTCGCGATGGCAATCAACAAAGCCCAAGGGCAGTCTTTGCGCGTTGCCGGATTAAATTTAGGAAATCCATGTTTTTCGCATGGTCAACTGTATGTTGCTTGCTCCAGAGTAGGAATTCCAAAAACTCTGTACGTCTATACACCAAATCGAAAAACCAAAAATATTGTTTACCCACTAGCGTTACGATAGATGTTAGTATTGATTAAAATGTGTTCAAGTTGTTTCAGTTTTAGTGGACCAAAAGCTATAAGGTTATATGGCCATCATAAAATCATCCCATTGTGTCGAAGTTAAGTTGTTTACAATAGAAAAGGTTTTAGGGTCGTAAATAACGTGTCCAATGGAGCTCGACCGGCGGTTGTGGTTTCGTTCAGGGGCGGCTTTCACTAAATATGTAAATCCACCACTCCACTATTTCTTTACTACCTGCAGCCGCTGAGGGTTCCGAAATCACCACTCGCTTTGAAAGCCGGCCCTGTTAAATATGAGCAAGAAATGTTGAGAAGACGATTTATTGCCAACCGGTAAGCTTAGTGCGAACCACACAAAGGGGGTACTTATTTGCGGTCAACTACTTTTATAATGGTCATATAACCTTATACCTTTTGGACTAGCATATACTATAGCGAATACAATAGTCAAAAATTTTATTCATTCACGTGAATTACTAATACAAAAATGTGTACATTGTGTATACTAATGAAAATAAATGGAATAGCATCAATATGAGTTATCTTATTATTCAGTTTTCTACAACGCATTCTGCGCTCCAGACCATACATTTATATCCACATATATACAAAGTAAATATATACACAAGCAGGACAACGTCTGCCGGGTTCCGCTAGTATAATATCTATAAACTTAATCAATAGGCTCAATTTTAGAAATAATTGGCTTGTGGTAACTGAAGTAGGAAACATAAATTTGGGATTCTATTTTATTTAAATGTCTTGAAAAAACTGCATCGATGGTACTACTATATTTTGTTGTTGATTCTGCCGGATTATTGTTGATTCTTAAATCAAATTCTTCCTCTAGAAACTGTAGCAATGGTTTTGATTTTTCATTACTGAAGTTGATGTTAAAATCACCGCCCAAAATGAGTGGAAGTTTATCTAAATTTTTGTTGTATCTGCTAAGCGTTCGAGATACATCTTTAAAATACTCTAGCAGTGCTCGATGAATGAACTCCTGAATATCTATTAATTTGTTATTTGGTGAGACATATATGACTGCCATGATTAAGGTAACGCCGTTTTCCATTACACACTCTGCTGCACATAAATCTGCAACACTTGTACGTCTTACGTGCAAGTCCTGAATATTCTTCATAATGACCGACATATTTGGTGTTATAAAAAAAATACAAGATTGGTCGTATCATTTGTGTTGTGATATATCGCAACTCCACCTGAACGAACAAAATCACGTTTAAAGTGGGTTATACAATTAAAATTCGGTATATCACATTCTTCTTGATTGTTCAACCATGTCTCTGATAATAACAAAATGTTCGTTTTTTCTGTAACAGAGTCGATTAAATCAACTGAATGTTTACGAAGGCTTTGTATACAATGAAATACCTTTATCTTTAGTAATGAAAGAGACAGACAGAAACACGTGCACGCTGCCACGGCTTGCAGCGCGCGCAGAATGTGTCATTAGAACTTCTGGTCTAACTGTTCCGTCTAGCTCCCTTTCGCAACGCGCGATAAGGAACTTCGTTCCAATAAACACAATTTTGGGTTTTTATTAAAAACAAAGCGAAACAGCACGGAATACCCAATGTGATGAAATATAATGACAGCAATTTAACCTCACCAGAAGCTATAGTCAATGCGTTTGCTGAATCGTTTGTTAAATCATTCAAAAAGGATAATGACAGCAACTCTGTAGTATTTGAGGAAAACTTAAGTGGTCTAAATAAAAATATCTTATATGTTAAAAAAGTTGATTCCAGAGAAATTTGCATTTCGATTTAAAAACTTAAACCAACTTTAACAACTGGTCCAGATGCTATTCCCTCATTTTTCATTCGTGCTTGTGCGTCAGTTTTATGTGAACCGTTGTCTGTTATTTTTAATTTGACATTAAGAACATACACCTGTCCATAAGAAAAATAGCACAAATGACAAAACAAATTATCGTCCAATCACAATTATTAACAATTTTGCTAAAATATTTGAAATCTTGCTTCATTCTCGAATATGTAATCACGTTTTCACTTAATTGGCCTTAAATCAACATGGTTTTAGAAAGGGAAAGGCACCAACCACAAACTTATTTTTAAAAACACAGTTTATTTCAGACTATTTATATCATAGAATTTTGTTGCTTAAATTACAATCTTTTGGTTTCTCGAATGACTTGATTAATCACTTCACATCATATCTACATGAAAGATATCAGTATGTCTATTATCAAGACTTTTCCTCTAGCAAGTTCCTCAAACCTCGAGGGTGCCGCAAGGGTCTGTGTTGGTTCCATTACTATTCAATATCTACATAGATGATGTTGGACAACAATTTGATGTAGCGTATCTTAAGTATGCTGACGATCTCAAACTACTCTGCGAAGTAAAAACAGTAGATGACTGCGTGCGTCTTCAGAATAATCTAAACAGATTGTATAACTGGTCAGTCAGTAACGAACTCCTTCTAAACAAAGATAAATGTTTTGTTAAATCCTATTTCAGAAAGATAATTTTTTTAACCTACAACTACACAATTGATGATTCTATACTAGAATGACCAGAATACATCTGTGATCTTGGTGTCACCTTCGATAGAAAATTAAAGTTTGACAAACATATTGAGAATGTTTCAGCCTTTGCGTATAGGTCTCTAGGTCTCGTCATCCGTAACTCGAGGGCTATACAAGACAAAGAAGTTTTGTCACTTCTATTTTTCACTTATGTTCGTTCACGCCTAGAGTATTCATCGGTTGTGTGGAGTCCCATATATGTATGTATAATTGTCACACATTTCTACATTAGAAAAAATTCAACGCAGTTTCTTGAAGTTTTTAAGTTTCCAAACGATGTGTATCTCAAACGCTTTAAAATACAAAGTTTATTATGCCGCCGGAATATTGCCTCTCTTATGTTGTTGCACAACATTCTACATTCAGTAGTAGATTATGAAGATATTCTGAACCTTTTATACTTCAAAGTATGCGGAACTAACTTTATTAGATTTGGTTCAGTCTTAGAGGCACCACGACCAAAAACCAGTGGTACTAAAGCATCACTCCTCTATCAGATGATAAAAAAACTACAGCAAAACCTCTACATATCGGACACCTCTAATCAACGGATAATTTTCAAGAAACCGAAGGCGTGTTTAGCAAATGTAATGAAGTAAGCCTCCCAACAATGGATCCTCTCAACAGCGGACACTAACAATAAAATTTGGTACCATTTTAATAAATTTCATAGAAATTTAACTCTACACAACGTACAGATTTACTTATTATGAAGATTTTACCTGGTGAACAGCTCAGGTACTGTTAACGGATTAACTAATTTTGAGTACCGCCCGCGGTATCCTATTATGACATACTAATGGCTTTCTCGTTATTCCATTTAATTCATTGTAGGGTTTACCGGTTTTCCTAAAAACGAATTTTAAAATTTTATGTTAAATCCAGTGGCGGCTGGTGGGTCAAAATTTCGGGTCGGCTAAATACTTTGAGTCTACACCTTTGTGTTATATATTTTCGTAATGTATGGCCGCTACTCGTTAACCACTGACATTTTACGTTTCAGGATGTACAAAAACTTCTCGAATCTTTCGACCTCGACTTGTTAAAATAATTTTTTTATAGGAAATTGACAATGTCAGTTTGATTCCAAATACTATTAATCTTTAATTCTACTTGTTCTGCCTTATCATTAATTGAAAACCACCGAAAAAATTATTTTTACTGAGTTCCGCCTCGACCAGCGGCTACGGCTTGCCGACCCCGGACATCCACAATTAAATAATAATAATTAAATAATGACATGCAGTTAAAAATATAAAAAAAGTAATAATAAAAGTACCAACTGTTAACTATTTTCATTTACATTTAATTTTTTTGAAATGTACCTACCTATATGGCAAATTGTCAAATACCTTAATTGAATAATTAAAATGATTCAAAACATTAAATTCATTTCTGAAATATCTGAAAACGCTTAGATGCTAAAAATACAGAAAAACGCATTTATGTTTTAGCAAAGTTATGTGTACGAACGATAAAATTTTAGATAATTTAATGTAATTTTTTTCGTTATTATTCATACACAGGAATATAATAAAATATAGAAGTACTTTTTAATATAACTACATCTTCTATACTAAACGTACATCAAATTTTATTTCTTTTTTATTTTCTAATTTCAACGCTTACTAAGTATTTTAAAATGACTGGTACGGCGTGGCCGACCCTGCCGCCCCTGACCGGCCGCCCCTGGTTAAATTCTTTCAAATGATTGCCGGCGGCACTGTACCAGTACTTCATTATTTGCTTAAATTTTAAATCTTCTAGGTTTTTGGAATTCGATAAGCTTCTTATTGTTAGCTATGTTTCTGGCAAATATACTGCCTTTCAAAAAAAATGCAACCGAGAGTAGCAGTGAAAATACGTTCACTAGTTACTCTTCGGCGCCCACTGCCCCTACGACGTGCTCTGAGATCCTTATTTACCACGCCCTACATATTCGCTGCATATTCGTAAAATTGTCGAAGCATTTGGACCGATTCTTCATGCAATTTCACGGTACGACAAACCAGCCTCTCGCATACCGACAATTCTGCCTCTGTCAAAGGCGCCAATTTGTTCAAATTTAACATTTCTTCGCACCGGTGGCATTTTATTGCATAAAGAGACACAACTGACAGACAACCATAAAAACAAAATGTAAAGTTTATTTAAAAAAAATGATACAAATTTTTACTTCTTCGCCAAGAAAAACAAGAAAAATATTCCAAGGCGTGCGTTGTTTACCACCATTTTTGCGCGCCTAAATTTTAGGAATTATGTCTGAACTAACTTCGTAGGAAAGATGTTGACAGCTTGATTTTATAAATAATTCACAGTAGATAACAAAAGGAATAGTAAATTATTGGGCAGCGATTGTGATCCGTTATGAATACATCACTTAAAATAGGATTTTTGTTCTAAATTCTAAAATTGTTTTTCTTACAAAAACTCGAAAGACAGGTTAGAAGAAAGATCTGTCAAAGCGATTTGTTGCGCTGGTGCGGCGGTACAAGGATGAAAGTGAAATTGACATATACAGATTAAATGCATATAACAAAGATGAAGACATGGTGATCACACAAGGATAGCATAATTCCAAAAAGTCGGTTTTATTTTTAATTGAAACTAAAAGTGTTTACATC